GAATATCTCACAGAAGAATTATCTAATTTCTTTGAGCTTGTACCCAGGCGCTGCTGATAGCAGAGAAAAGGATAGAGCAGCTGACAAGTCAGGTTAATGCACTCGACGACGAAGTAAAATCTAGAGACTTGGTTTTGAATGATATCAAAGAGGAAGCGGTGCAAAGCACCGAAGCGCTTAGACTTGCCGCTCAAATCAAGCAGGTAACGTTTCTTTTTCCTCACCCAGCGCATTATAATCAACTTGAGAGTGATATCAGGATCTAAATCTTTCAAGACAAAGAGAACTGGAGCTGTCACAAGAACTAGACGGCATGAAAAACATGGTGAAAGAGCTTCGCCAGGAGCTGGTCGAGAACAATCGGGCTGTGCGTGCCGAACAGGTAGCTTTTGGTTTTCCTCTAGATGCAATTTTATTTCTCTAAGAGATGTTTCCTTTAGGCCTTGCGTCAACTAGAAAGTGAAATGGACGAAGTAACAGCTGAAGTAGACATCCTTCGAAAGGGCGTTGAGGCTCGAGACGAGGCGATCCAACTGATGAGAGAAGAAGTCGACAGGAACATCGATGTTCTCAGTCACGCGGCTGGAAACAGAGAGGTATGACGAAAGTTCATAAGTTCTCATTCGATGTCTCTGTTTGTTTGTAACTTCCAGCTTGTTCGAGAGCTTGAAGAACACATCGACGAACTCAAGGCTGAGCTGAGGAAGAAGGACACAAAGCTTGCAGCTATGGGCAAAGGCTTAGACGTTGGCAGCAGTGTCCCTTCTTCCTCTTCCTCGTTTCTCAAGAGTGGCCTCTACGAAGACCCGTCGTCCTCGAGTTATACTTTCCAACCATCGTCGTCTTCCACTCCTTCACAACCATTTACCAGCGAGGTACTGATATCGATTGTGGTTTGATTGCCTAACACGGTCGAGGATTTTCCAGGGTAGAAAGCGGGTGAATAGGAACTCCAGTGGATACAAAAGATCCCCGAGACACAGCTAGAGCTTACTGATCCATGCCATCCCAGTGAGTCTTTGAAAGTTGTGAAGGTTGATTCACATGTAACTTTATAGTTATCAAAACAGTTTAAACAATAATTTAAAAGGAATACTCTCTTCATTGAGGCATGCGCTCACAGCAGCAAAGCTTATCAAGGAAGCACCCTTTGCCAGTAGGAGAGTCTGCTATATATGCCATGTTCACAACCTCTGAAGAACTCATCTTTGCAACAACCCTCCTCCTCAAGAAGTACTGGCACATCAGCAAATTTGTCACATCAGCCGATCCCGAAGTACCACCACATCAAACACGTCACCTTAGCCAGCAACACCTATGTAGCAGTCACTCCCTGTACAACCTCTAGATGCCACATACATAGTCAGATTACAAACATTGTGTGCTCATTTCTTCTTTCTGAGACATGGGTTAGATTAAACTCTGTTGAATATCAAATTAGACAATCTTAAATAGCATTGCATGAAGAACACTTCACAATATGATGTCTAACGCATGCATGCACATATATTTAAGGAAAGTTTTCAGCATATGAAGTTTAATTGTTAGTAATAATGTCACTAATGACATTCTGCTATGGCCTGTGGATCCAAGATATCCAATCTGATTGTCAACAATGTCATTAGTTTTTCAAATCTTAAGTGTTATATTATGTCAGTAATCAAAATTATTCTATGACAAATTGGATTCTTAGTACCAGTTGAGTTTTATTCATAAATGTGAACACATTAAAACACATGCCTATAGTTTAGGTTCTAATACAACACAAAATAAATTTATGGATGTGGATTCATCCATTCATAGATTAATATAGTACAACATACTTAATATGGTAATGTAACGTGCCTTATTTATACTCTTTAAATTTTTTGTAACAAATCCAAAACATGTACAAAATATTGATAAGAATGCATCCTTTCTATATAAATAGGAAAAAGTAATATCATATCTCCAATAACTTAAACATTGATAGGTGCTAATTATATCGTCATTAAAATATATAAAATAAAGAACCATAAATTCACATATAATAATAATGATAAGATAAAATAAGATCGATGATATAGTCATGGTGATAATAAAACAGATGGTCGAGATTTAAGTTATTTGGAATGAACGGCCAGGATAAAAGATTGGTTAAGGCTAAAGTAGCTATCAAGATTTGGGTTAGGGTAGCTGCCAAGATTAAGTTACTATTTGCACTATGAGTTGAGAGTGTGGATTGAGAGTGAGAGAAATCAAGTGCACAAGAGCGCAAGAGATTGAGAGCACAAGATCAAGAGCAAAAGAGATTCAATATACAAGTGTGATGCCAAGCAACAAGGCCACAAATAGTGAGTTTTTTCCATTTGATTGCTTCTATATTGTGTTGTTTTTTCCATGTTATTCCATGTTTTCTTTCTTGCTCCTCGTTTTTTGTCAGCCACTATGCATTTTTATTGGCAAGCACAAGTATTTTTGTGGCCACTTTGGGCATTTCTACAATAGGAGGGCCATGGCTATTCAAATAACTTCATGCTTCCCCCAGAAACACAAAATGCCTAAAGTTTAATGGTGTTCATGATAGAAGTTTGATGATCAGCTTGGAGCTAAAAGAGTTGCAAACCTTTTTAACAATGTGGTGGACAAATACTTCCAAGAAAAAATTATGCAGATAAAGGAAAAGTTGTTCACCAAACTCTTGAGGCACTCAAATGGCATGGCTCTAGTAACTTGATTAGGGAAATCCTCTTTTGTTGTTTACAACAAATGAACCTTGTGCACAACATCCAAATATATCAACCTAGATATATACAACTTGTTCAAATAGAATGGCCTAATAACAAATATCAGTATATTTTTAATTTCTTTCTTTAAGTCAGGGACAATAGAGATCGTTACTATTACACTCGAGATCATAAACAGCTAGAATCCTATTTAGAGGAAGAAGTCCCTTGAATTCAATTATAAACTTATTAGCCATCTTGAGACTGATAGCTTGCAAGGATAATGTTCCAAATTATTGATAGTAACCATTAATATAAGGCTTGGATGAAGTGTATTAATAATTATTTTTGCAATGATCCCATTTACCATATCAATAGTCCAATTGGCTAGGGGACCTTTGGATGTTAATAGACTTATCTTGGCCTACCAAATTATCAATATGTAAGTTTACTAAAATTTTGTCTTCTCAAGCTTTAGTTATTTGTTGTCCAAAAGTAAAATCTTTTCATAACATCAAGTAGCTCTATTTTTTGGTAGACTTGAATGAGGATGACATTCGACAACATTATGATGATGGTCTCACAATACTTGTTTAGCACTTGCAAACTCAAAATGACCATATGATATGGTTCAGCAATTTAATTAATTTTATGCTTGCAACGTATGTATTTCCTTGTTACTTTATAAAGGCTTCTTTTTATTGTTTTGGTTTCTAGACTTTGGTAAAGGTAAAGCAAGATGCATATGAACTTGCGCATCTTAAGAAGAGTCAAGAAGAGCTCTCGGCTAAACTTTTATAAATCGAGTATAAAATTCAATATGCAAAGTCTTCAAAGTTGAAGGAATTAATATGCATTGCAAACAATTGTAAACTGAAAAAGTGGTTAGAGACTATAGCCAAAATTTCTTCTCACAAATGTAAATTTCTTATCATATGCTTTATTTTTCTTAATTACATATATGTTACTTTTGTAGTGAACAAAACTCTAGATGATATAATTTACAATATCAAAAATTAAAGCTTCCATATAAGCAATAGATACAGATTCTAAAGTTATTTGATGTCTACTTAATGAATAAAGAGAAAGAACTACTAGAATTATTTGAGAATATGATGAGAAGGACTATTTATATCACGCAAACTATGAGTGAAAGCAAAAAGTTCTTGGCACTACATATCAATGATGATCCAAAAGGCACTTTCATATCCTTCGACACCTACGTAAATATATCTTTAGAAGGGATCACAAGGGGGTGGCTGCCAAAAAAGTCCACAAGCATGATAACTTATGATTGCCAACATGGCCAACTTTATTTCATGCAATATGCAGCTTATAAATATAACAAGATTCTAGGATCTTTTCTAAATGTATTGTCTACAAGTATTTTCAATATAGAGGCATGCCACTTAAGACACTAATTTGCACTCAATTTATTGTTAAAGGTGTAAAGGATGGAAAAATTTATTTAACAATATTTGTAAGAGTTTTAAAGGCACAGTAGATAGATTGCTCTTGGGAGTTAGAGTTCTTTAGCCTTACACTAGACTAGAAGGAAGTTATTAATGTAGGTCAATGTAATATTCTTTAAATTGCTTGGTTATCATCATTTATTGGTGGAATTTGATTCAGATCTTGGCTATGTGATGGTGGAATTGGACTTAATCCTAGCTATCTGGTGGTGGAACATGAGCTTGATCTAGAACTTCTGATCATGTGCTTGATGTGTTCCTATTGTCGGAAGTACATATGCTCGAAGTTAGCCATGTCATCTTTATCCTACTAAACTGGATGTATGGAATTATGATGTGTGCAATAGAAGTTTGTTTTAAGTCATTCTCCTCCAAGTGCATCATGGATCTTGTTGGCATTAATACTAGGGGCATCCAAAGTAAGCCTTGAAAAGATGAGTAAGTATTTCATATTTTTATTTAATTTCTAAACTTTCTTATTTTCCCTCAAGTAGGACTTGCATTGCTGATAGGGTTTGAAATTGGTACCTAAGAAATGTATTGTAGATCTGATCATCCATAAGGTTGGGTATGATGTTAGTGGAATTGTTATACCAAGCAAAATGTGTGTTACATGCTCACTATCACGAAATTTGTCATGTGTGTTTCTATAGGAGGCATGATAGGTCCACATTATAACTTTTCTAT